GTCCCCCCCCCCCCCCCCCCCCCCCCCCCCCCCCCCCCAACCCCTTCCCACCTCCCCCAATGTGTCCAGCTCCCTGTCTGTGCTGGCTGGTCGCATGTTGACCTCTCTGCCTGATCCAGACAAACCAGCCACTCTGCAGGTGACACGATCTCCATGCTCTCCATTCCTCTCCAGACCATCTTCTTTATTCCTCTTCATTTTTAATCTTTTCGTTTGCTGATTCCTCACTTCTTAGTTATTGTCCTCCATTAGGTTATTTTTGTTTTGTTCCTCCACTTCTTTCATTACCTTTCCCATTTGGCTAATTCCTTTGTCCCCTTCTGGAAGAATCCAAACCACCTGACTTGTCTTGTGACCCCCTCCCCCCCCACTCCTTCCTGACCCTCTGCCTGATCCCGGACTTGTATGTGTCTGTGGGACTGACTTGCCTGCATGCCCCTGTAGTGGTGGTCATGGTAGCGATGATGTAGATGTAGATATTAGTAGTATTATTATTAATATAATTGTTTATTTCCCTGTTTGTTGTCTAATAATTTGACGCCGATTCTGGATGGGCCATGTCTTTTACGTTCTGGTTTCTTGTCTCTAAGCCGACGATCTCACAGCCTGTTTCTCGGAGCTGGGGGGGTGGGGTGTGTCACTTCAGGCCTCTCGACCTCACCTCCTGACGAGCCCCATGATCACGGCGTTTTTTTTTCTTTCTTTTCCCCCCAGAAGAGGCGGTGATTGCTCCGATTTGCAATGCTAAAATAATCCGTCGCTCTCGGCCCGGTGGGAGATGATTTCCCTTCATTTGTCCCAGCTGATGCTCTGCGCTGTTCATTGACCGGCCCCACTGAGCAATTTCCCAAGAAAACGGGGGGAAAAAAAATGAAAACTAATGGGTAAAAAAAAAAAAAAAATCTGCAATGCCTGTCAAATATGAAATATACTGTGCCACAGTGTGGGGGGGTCGGGATACTGAGGGAAACGGGGATCCGTTGCCACACCATCCCCAGATCCACCCCCCCTGGCTAGCACCACTGGATGGGTGCGGAATTTGCCAGCGTCGTCCATGCCCCCCCCCCCATTTCGCATTTCGGCGCCCTGCACTCGAGTTCCTCTTCAAATGTCCCTCTTTGGGTCTTGACCCAGCCCCTGTCTCCCCGCTACATGTGGGAAAGGGTCTCTGTCATTCTCCATTAGTCTCTCCCGATGGGTTGGGGGAGGTTGGGTGCATTGGGGGGGGGGGGGGGGGGGGAGGCGCTCGCTC